CTGATGCATGCACGACTATACACGAACAATAAATAAAAAAAAAGAATGCTGTTATTACATCAATTAGTCAAAAGATGCCCAAATAAAGTCCCTTTATTTGTAGGGAGACATTCTTGCCAACTAAGGTAAACATAGGAAATACAAGGTTTGATAACTTGAAGAAAAATAAGAAATAAACTGAGTTTAAGTATCTAATTGGGGAATATAACCAGCTTTGTCCTGCTTTTAAGAGTTTTCTTTTTGAAAGAGGAGTGGCTGATGTTTTTGGAGACTTTAGGACTTGAGAGAGTAGTTGGAGTGGAGAGTGTGAGAGAGGAATTCAATGAAAATTTTCTTCCTTGCATGTTTGCCTAGTTTTGCTCTATTAATGGAACTACAATTTTGTTCTCTGCAACAAGTTCAAACTACCCCTACAATATCTGTGGTTTTTCTTGATGCAGTGGCCCACATATCATACATCATATTTGATGAATAGGGCCAAGAGCTAATTCTATATCACTTATTTCTGTAGCCAATAAAAGAAATTCTAGACTAGTTACCTAAATAATTTCCCGACAATTGGAACATTTCAACCCTGTGAAAGCATCCCCTTTCCCCAAGAATCAAAGCGATCTTTGGTATTTCTCCAGATGTACTTTTTCCATCACCCCTCTTAACAACCTAGCCTACAACCTCCCTTCTCCAAATACCATTTCCTTTAGCCTTTGCTTCTTTCTGTAATTCCTCTACTCTGTTCCTCTCATTCTCACCTTTTTTTTTATTATAATTGGTTTCTTTTTTTATAGACAAGTGGTCTACTACAAAATATTATCAACAAAATTATTGATGCGTGCTAGAAAATTCATGGCGGTAGAGTAATGGATTAATGTCTTAGCGTTGCATGAAAATTCATCACACACAGATAAAAGAAACAAAAGAAGACACCTCGACTATCGTCAGAAGTACTGAAATTTTGGAGAGGCTATGTCGAATCTACTCAAAGAACAGTGGATTTGTTGTAACTCTTGTATAAGTATATATTGGTCTTTGTAGCATTTTTGATCATTTGATGTAGCAATTGTAGATGGTGATAATGTATTTCTTTGTTTCTTCCACGGTTGTTGTGGCTTCTTAATTGCGCAAAATTATACAATTAAAATTAGCATACAAATTTTTATAAAATAAAGAATCACGTATCTTTTGTGTTTCATGTTTTTCGAACTTGTGTCCTCTCAAGTTTATGTCTAATAGGAGTTTGAACTGGTACCTTATGAGACTCGTAGCCTTTTGAGGTTTTTGATGTACTTGTGTATTTTAAGGCTTGTAGCCTTTTGAGGTCTTTCAGTGAAGACCCTGCCAACCACTTGCTTCGTTGAAGTTTTTTAGCGAGGACCTTATCCACCACTAGCTTCCCATCGAAATTTACTTCTTGGGCTCGTCTTCTAACAACATGGTAGTTTCTTATCTGGTCTTTGCCTTCTGGGCTTGACTTTCAGAGGCATAATTGAAAGGAGAATCCATTGAGGATGTAATACCAGTTTTGAGTTGTATAACCGGAGACACTCGACGATATTAATCCGTAATAAAGTCATATGAAATCCACTGAGGATGATTGACATATCATAGGTTTTTGGTCGAAGCTTCTGCTTGACGACCGTAACCTGTTATGGAAGAGGTCGAAGGAATTCCACTAAGGATTTTTGACCTAAGATTGTATGTTGAAGCATTTGCTTGACGACTCTAAGCTGTAGTGGAGAGGTCGAAGGGAATCCATCAAGTATTTTTGACCTATCCGAGGTTGTATGTCGAAGTTTTTTACTTGATGACGGTAGCCTTCAATGGAAGAGGTCGAATCGAGTCCCTTTGGGATCGATTATGCCTAGAATGAGGTGTCTGAGATGTTCTGCGTTTCTCGAGATTAGGGCGTGTGTTGTAATGGACCATATGCTTTCTTGGAAATATGCTTCCAGTTATACTCAAGAAAAATGTTAAAACTTATTATTTGCTGCTTTTGAATCTTTGCTCCCCTAGCATGGGTGTTTTCCATGCGAGCATGTAAAACAACACATTTATTTGGTTTTGAAGAGATCAACTTTCTGTTCTAGTTGAAGAGGAACTTCAGTACGATGAGGAGGCACTGAGGAAGTGTTATTTGGGGTGAAGATTACTCCTCATTTCAGGAAAGATTCTTGTAAACTTGTTATCTGAATGAAATATGGGATGACTTACCACAGTTGTGCCCGAGACGTTGACATGAACGAACTTTCAAGACCGCAGTAAAGGTTGCCCCCCAGTCTGGAAGAATTTGTGAAATACTGTGTTTGAATAGGATGCGAGAAGACAACCTCACCACAATTATTCTCTGTATATTGACGTGAACGATCTTTCTAGACTGCGGTGAAGGTTGCCCCTCACATCGAAGAATGCTTCAGAGATAATCTTTAAGATGCAAAGAAGAGATTCTTTTGACAGTTGGATGATATACACTACAGTCGTGCCCGAGACATTGACATGAACGACCTTTTGAAACTACAGTGAAGGTTGCCCCCCGTGCTAGAAGACTTCCTCACCACAGTCGTGCCCAGGATGTTGACATGAACGACCTTTCGAGATTGCAGTGAAGGTTGTCCCCCAGCTTGAAAGAATTTGTGATATACTGTATTTGAATAGGATGCGAGAAGACAACCCCACCATACTTGTGCCCGAGATATTGACTTGAACAACCTATTGAGATTGCGGTGAAGGTTGCTCCTCACATCGAAGAGTGCTCCAGAGATAATCTTCAAAATGCAAAAAAGAGATTCCTTTGACAGTTGGATGATATACATTACTGGGAAATGAAGTAGGGTATCGACGACTCTTAGTTGAAGACAATGTCGAACAATGATTCGTTTCCCACAGACGGTGCCAAACTGATGCGTGCTAGAAAATTCGTGGCAGTAGAATAATTGATTATCATTCTAGCGTTGCACGAGAATTCAACACAGATAAAAAGAAACAAAATGAGAAACTTTGAGTTTTTGCGCGGAAAACTTTTGAAAGGGGGAAAAACCACGGGGCCTAACCCAATTGAAATAACCCACTATGAATGATGAGTACACATGTCCATCCTTTTTCTAAATTAGGGAATATGAAATTACAAAGTTGTATAACTATAATCTGGTTGCAGTTCTTGGTGACAACATGTTGTAAGGGTCATTGTTGATTATTGTAGAGATTGTAGTTCGTCATGAGTGTTGTGGATGATTGCTCCAGAAACGTTGATTAACCAAAGAGATTCCTTTGACAGTTGGATGATACACATTACTGGGAAATGAATTAGGGCATCGACGACTCTTAGTTGAAGATAGTGTCGAACGACGATTCGTTTCCCACAGACGGCGCCAAACTGACGCATGCTAGAAAATTTGTGGCGGTTGAGTAATTGATTATCGTTCTATTGTTGCACGAGAATTCAACACATAGATAAAAGAAAAAAAATGAGAAACCTTGATTTTTTGCGTGGAAAACCTTTGAAAGGGGGAAAAATCATGGGGCCTAGCTCAGTTGAAATAACCCACTATGAATGATGAGTACACATTTCTATTCTTCTAAATTAGGGAATATGAAATTACAAAGTTGTATAACTATAATCTGGCTGCAGTTCTTGGTGACATGTTGCAAGGGTCATTGTTGATCATTGTAGAAATTGTAGTTCGTCATGAGTGTTGTAGATGATTGCTCCAGAAAAGTTGATTGACCAAAGAAATCGTAATAAGCAGTTACGGGAGCTCTGGACCACATAGTTCGTAGTGGCGAGTATGAATGACCTCTGTAGGCCGCGGGGCCAGAGTCAGGAGCTGCACGAGCTGTGAACCAGGTAAGCCGTAGGGGCGAGTATGAATGACGTCTATAAAACATGATTCATAGCTCGTGCAGCTCCTGACTCCGGCCCCCACAACCTATGAACGTCATTCATATTTGCCCCTACGGCCTACAAGGTTCACAGCTTTTGCAGGTCTCGATTCCAATTTTCACGGCTATAGACGCAAGAACTGCAGCCGGATTATAGTTATACAATTTTGTAATTCTATCTTTCCTAATTTAGGAGAAGTATGGACATGTGTACTATTCATTCATAGTATATTATTTTAACTGTGCTAGTCCCCATGGTTTTTCCCTTTTTCAAAGGTTTTCCACATAAAAAGTCGATGCGTCTCCTTTTGCTTCTTTTATCTATGTGTGCTGAATTCTCATGCAATGCTAAAACGATAATTCATTATTCTACCGCCACAAATTTTCTGGCACGCATCAATTATTAATTATATTAATCCATCATCTAAACTCCGGGACCTTACTCATAACAAAAAGAAGGATGTTCACAATAAATGATCTAAAATAAAAGAAACATAATCTAGATACGTCTAAACACATCAATGAAACAATCCTAATATTTCCCAGACATAAATAATCACTAATGAAGTAGGAAAATTGATTCACCATTTATGCCATTGACATCACTTGTACATACGTGGCGTGTGACTTTATCATCTCTCCCAGGGAAGCACATGCGCTTTGATGATTTTGTTAAGGCTATCTTTGGTATGGTAGGCGTTTTTTTACAAATAATAATATTTAAAATCATTTTTAATTAAGAACAAACAACGTATCTCATATACTATAAATGCGTTGGATTCTCTTGCTTGGAAGTGCATATGTACGTAGAAAACAGAATTTTTTTGGTGATGTACCGCAGTTGAACGATTCCTATCATAGTAGTTTAAAATTTTAAAATTTTATTATTATTTTTATAATCCGTACCTGCCAGGAATCAACTTGTTGGAAGAGCCTGTGTAATTTCAATAGTTGAGCAATTTAGTGTTGGTACTAGATGCAATGCATTTTTTTTTTGCAACATTCAAGTTTATTTGATATGTTTCCAACTTCATATTTTAAGTAGATTTATATTGAATTCATAATTTCTTCCATAATATGCCTAGATATTTTCTTTCCTAATACTTCATTATTCTTATGGTCTTCAGGTATCAGGCGGGTGGAGACATACTATGGCTCTCACATCTGATGGAAGGTTATATGGCTGGGGTTGGAATAAGGTTTCTATGATAAGAAAGAAAATTTTTATTTACTTCATAAAACACCTATATTTTCTGTTTGCTTGTATACAAAAAACAAACAGTTCTTTTGGAAGGTCGTAGACTTTTTTTAAAGGGGTTTGATGTGAACCAAAATCTTTCTATTATTCGAGCGAGGATATATTTCTATTCTGAGAGTTGGCTGTTGAATTAAATGCAAAATTAAAATAATGAGGAAAATTTGTGATAAATAGAACACAAATTGAGTATATGATAATAAATTTAATGGGTGTATTTTTAACATTTAATATCATTAAAAAAAATGATGTTACACAGGTTTGATAGTTGTATTTTGTATGTATCGTATAGAAGAATGGTGTCAAGGATAACACGTTTACTTATAAAACTATATGGTTAAAGTAGAGAAATGCCTTGGGAGTATGGGGCTTTCACGTGAAGTAAATTTTATAAAGCTACAGTTAGCCGTGTTATGTTGAGTGGATTTGAGATTTTGACAAATAGATCTGTTAACTATCAGGTGTAGTAGAAATGAGAATATTATGATTCATGTGGTAAAATTAGAGTGAATAAATTGATAATGAGCTTGTTGGGCACAACATCCATTGAAAACATGGTAGTTAAGAATATGATTTGGTCTCGTACTTCTATGATAGAATATACATTGATAACATATATAAAATAGTGTTTAATAGTAGGTGAAATAGGGGCAAATCAAATGCAATATGGATAAAATTGGTGCAAAATAATTTGTGTGGATTAGATTTAGAACCTCTTGTAACACTCGAAAGAACTTGAGAATGATGATTCGTAATGCTAGTTCCAAATAGTTGGAATAAGGCTAGTGATGGCAATTATGATGATGATGCTTATGCTAGGAAGTTGTCATCAATTAAAATGTTTCTTAGAACAAATCATCTCTGCACATCTCTTTTTAATAAAGAAGTGAGATGTATTACTCCAAACCAACTAAACCATCACTCGAGTGACCAAATCTAGACCCATTTGATCCGAGTAAATAGTGAGGTGTTAGATCCACACTACATTGATGGCTCTATAAAGAGATGTGTAATTAGGGTAAAGTATATCATTTTCTTTATATTGTATGAAAGTATTTGTCATGTAAATCTAATATGACCTAAAATTTCATGGTTACTGTGTAATTTTGAGTTTCCTATTTTTAGATTTATTTGCATCTATTCCTTTCCTATTATGTTGTTTTTCTTTCCTTCTGTTATTTATGATGTCTTTAGTAAGCTGTAATGGTAGGAACTACATTTGCCCTAGCCTTACTATATAAGGAGATAGGATAATACAAATATCTCCTCCTTTCTTTATGCCGCAGAGCGAGGAAAGAAATCCTAGATCTCTTTAGCCTGCAGGTCCTCTTCTGCTCTTTCCTGAACCACCAAGGCCTGTTTAACATCATCCATCTCGTCTAGCTACCATAATCGTGATTGAATCCTCTTATGTGTTTGGTTTCCCATCGATCGTGAATTGAAACTACAATGCGTCACTATAAGCCGCAGTTTCATTGTATGCGTTCAGAGCGTCATCTACGTCAAAATCGTCAAATTAAATGCTCTGTATTGCATCACTATAATAATGTCGTCTGTGTGTAGATCCTTTGATTTTTGTATGTGATCCCTCTTCCCAAGTGTGATCGCAACAGGTATTACTCTTCTTTCCTTACAAGTATGTTCTTCCATTGAATCCAAGGCTCCAGACACAAGGAGAAGCTAACTCCTAGCCTTCTTCCCATTGACCCAGTTGTTCCATCACGAGCAAAAAAAAGAGTCGCAGGTAGCAACCAATCTATTATCAGTTCTTTCCTATAGCTACAACAGCCCCAAAAGCGGTGGCTTTATGATCGAGTATGGGATGAAGATGTCTAGTTCTACTTTGGAGGTTATTTTTGAATCAAAGACCAGGAATTATGCCCAAACAACCCCAGAACTCTCTCACTTTATCACAGGCCATAAATTCAATCTAAATAACTTCCTTCAATGGTCACAATCCGTGTTTTTGTTCATTTGTATGAAAGGAAAAGAGGAGCCTCTCACGGACAAATGATCCACTTGTGGGTATTATTCCTATGTTTGGGGAATTTTGTTCATATGGAGTAGCAAGAATCAATAGTGGTCTCCAGACAATGCAAAATCTTTGAACCGAGCATTTGCTTTGGGAATTTGTGAAGGAATGTGGATCCAAATGTTATCAATTCTTTAAAGACATTTTGTGAAAGTCAAGCCGCCATTAGTATTGCAAAGAATCACGTGCATCATGACATGAGCAAACACATTGAAATTGATGGACATTTTATCTCTGCAAGGTCAATAAAGACATTATTTACTCGATCAACATTCCAAATCATCTTCAAGTTGCTAATGCCTTCACTATATCTCTACCTCGTGGCAACTTTACTGATTTGAATATCAAGCCGGGTCTTTACAACATCTATGACCCAGCTTGAGGGGGCGAATGAAATTTTGAGTTTCTTCTTTTAGATTTATTCTTGTTTATTCCTTTATTATTAGGTTGTATTTCTTTCTCTTTGTTGTTTGTTGTGTCTTTGGTAAGTTGTAATCTGTAGGAATTAAGTTTTTCCTGGCCTTTACTTATTATATAAAGAGAAGAATTGTAATTTGATGAGTAAGAAATAGGAGAATAAAATTTTATCCACCTTTTTTCTGTTACATCATAAACATCATCCATAAATGTATTAAGAACATGAGCATGGCTCGCTTTGGGATTCATAATCTGGTTAGGTAACCGGGTGAAGTCAGACCCTGTCACTCTTGGTTGAGATGACATGTGATATAAATCGTACTTTTAAATTTTGTTGTATATCATCTGTTTTTTAGACATCGATTATGGATGGAATTGATTAGGAATTCTTTGCCATTGAAACCCTAATTATGCATCCATGTAAAATTTATGGTTGTGTTTTATTCATTACATCTCGGAAGAATAAGAGATGCATTGCAATTTGTTTTACTGAATTTTTTTGTTTGCCAGTCATAAAGCGGGGCTAGAAGACTAGGTGCTCCTAATAAATCAAAATGCAAGATCATTTTTTTATGGTGCAGTTATATTTTTCCTGAACGTAGTTAATGGAGCCCAGAACTAGGTGCCTTCTTTTTTACACTAATGCGTAGACCAAACAGTTCAAGTAATGGTTGAAGTTAACAGCTTTTAAGACATCCCTTTGAACATTCTTTTATTCTTTAACATCTTTTCTACATGAAAGAGGTCTTCTGTATCCTCTGATCATTGATGCTTTTTCAACTAATTTGATCTCACATTCACAGATTTTGAATTTTGCTTCTCGAGCTTATTGTTAATTGGTATTTTTTACTTGGATAGTTTGGACAACTAGGCGTTGGTGATAATGTTGATCACTGTTCTCCAGCTCAAGTAAACTTTCCTGTGGACCAGGTATGATCTTAGTAATCTGGAATGTATGTTCTTAAATTCATGCTACTGCTACAGAGAGAGAGTTGTTTTTAACATTATTGCTATTACCCTGAGAAAGTAGACGGATGCAGGTAGAATGCATTCCCGATAGCTTTATGTTTGTCGTCTACTAGTTATTTTTATCTCTTTATTTAAAAAATAAATAAATTTCCGCATTTTACAGAAGGTTGTCTTTACGTCTTGTGGATGGCGGCATACTCTTGCCGTGACAGAGAGAAAAAATGTCTTTTCCTGGGGTAGAGGAACAAATGGTCAACTTGGACATGGGGATACACTTGACAGGTACTTTTATTAACAGGAGATAAATACTTTAATGGTTGATAACAATTCTAGAATTGAAATTTTGCTGTCCTTCTCTTTTATTTTTTATTTTTTATTTACAGGACACTGAGTATTTGTTTTCTACAGAGTTCTCTGTAAATTTTGAATTGCTGTATTGCTTTGGCCCTTTATTTATGATTCATTTCTGTTGCCTGATATGTTGAACCTACCTTCTCTGGTCCTTATTTTTAATATTTTTTATTATCCATGGTAGACTGAAGCTTAACATTAGGAGAAGGTAATTACGCGACTGTTTTTAATAGAGTTAAAAGGTATGTAAAGTAGGAAAATTTTGCTGGTACTGCTCAATAATGAGGTTTATTTACCAAGGTTAATGAACTTTTTAGATAATTTGGAAGGTTTTCTTGGTTATAAACCCTTATTTTTCATTCATTCATGTTTATTGGTTCCCGAGGTAATTAATAATTCTGGTTATATCCATATAATCTTAGATCTGCTCTTCCTCAATTCTTTGATGCTAATTTTATGTCTTTTCTACTTGTTTATGTTTTACTTTGTGTTGTACATGTTCAAATCATGCCTATTTTCAATCATCTAATCTTAAATACATATTACTCTTTACTGTTCCTCTGATTAATGATGTTGGAGTTAACCTAAATCACGACACTATTGACAAACAATTTTATTGTTGATTTTCAAAATGGGTATATGGATGACTTTACAATAACAAAACACATAATAATAATGCAAAATGTGGAAATGAGAACAAATGTAAATAAATAACAGATGACAGAAACGACTCTCTTGAGTGATTGCGAGATCCGTTGGATGGAGCAAACTGCGAGCATGATGTCTGGTTCGACAAGTTTGTTGGAAGCGTCGAACGATGCTTGGGGAAGGTGGAACCGTTGGAGTGGAATGCTGACAGTGGCATAGGTTAGTGTACAAGACCTTGGAAGTGGCAGAAGGGGCGCATGGATGTGCTGGTGGAGGCGGACGACTGAAGAAGGATGGGAGTCACGTGTTTGACTCAGGCAGGGAAGGGCACGATGAGTCTACGAGCCGCCTGGGTCAAACTCGCAGGAAGTCTGCGACTCGTTTGGGCACGAATGGGATGGGCGAGTAGTTGAGGACATGTATAACACAAAAAATGAGCGGTCATATTACAATGTCGTGGCTTATCGGGACTTGTTTTCTTGTGTTTGATACTTATGGTTTTGTTTAGTAATTATTGTAGCTCGGTGAATGATTGTGGCGTGGTCCAACTCACGATTGCCTCGATCTTCATTGGATTCATTTGAATGTTTATGCTATACACAATGTCACCCAAAAAATACTTAGTTTATGATGAATGTTTATGCTATACACAATGTCGCCCAAAAAAACATCTTATTGGATTCATTGGATTTCCTGAGGTTGGCGAACACTTGTTCAGCTCGTAAGATCTCGAATACTTCCCGAAGGTGTTGCAGATGATCGCCTTTTGATTTACTATAAACCAGAATATCGTTGAAGTAAACCACCACAATTTTCTCGATGTGAGCCCAAAACACTTGATTAATCAACCGCGTGAATGTGCTAGGTGCGTTTGACAGGTCGAAAGGCATAGCTGTCTATTTGTAGTATCCATTTAGTGTCTTGAAGGTGGTCTTCCATTTGTCTCCCGACTGCATTCTTATCTGTGATATCCACTGCGCAGATCGATTTTTGAGAAGACGGTGGCTTCGTGCAACTGATCCAAGGGATCGTCCAAACATGGTATAGGAAACCAATATTTGTTGATTATTTTGTTAATGACACGGCTGTTTATGCACATTCGCAATGAACCTTATTTTTTAGGTACCATAAGGGCGGGGACAATACATGGTCTGGTGCTTTTTTGGACTAATCTTCTTAAAACATGATCTTGCACCTGATGTTGGAACTCCTCGTACTTTGTGGGTTGCAATCTATAGGCGAGGCCATTTGGTAACGTTGATCCGTGTATGAGATCTATGGTGTGTTGATTGTCACTTAGTGGTGATAAGCCGTCTGGAAGGTTGTTCGTCATTACGTCTCAATAATGAGTACAATGTTCCATGGTACACTCAATTAATGTCTTCAACTGACAAAATATAGCTCTCTTTCAAAATATGATATTTTCTTAAGCTAATAATAATCATTTCTTAATTTATCCTTTTTTTTATTTTGCTGTATATCCAACTTAACATTCTCATTTTTGCCATAATCAAATTTTGCCATGTTAAAAAAACAAAAAAAAAAAAACTTAGCTATGTTTACATTTTTTAATATTCAATACTCATCCATATAAAATATCTGATTCACATGCACACATGCGTGAATTTGATTATGTCTTGAGAAAGCTCTTGTTGAGGATCAAATGTGCGTGTAACAAGTGTGTTAAGAAGCATGAGAGTTATATCTTTTTGACTCTTTTGATTTTATTTTTGCATTGATACTGATGTTGTATAAAAATTGATTTTAATTTATTAGAATTAAATGAAAATATTACACTCAATAGGACACAATGGAGGAAACAAGTTCATGTAGCTGACCCCACTTAGTGGTATAAAGGCTTGTTATTGTTGTACTGATGTTATTAGAAGCACATTTCAAAGTGTATTATAGGAGCGAAGTGAAAGCACATTTCAAAGTGCTTATTGCTTGGCTTTGAAGTATAACCTTGTAGTTTTTTGCTTAGTGTTATGGCATTGTGCACTAAAGTCTTTATTATTGTGAAATCATAGTTCAAATTCATGATTTTGTCCATTATCTATCATAATAATCAGGCACGGAAGTCGCTTTTCATCACTTTTTGTCATGGAGTTGTTGCTCATTTTTTCTTCTTTCTTCTGCTAGAGATAGTGGCTTTTTGGTGGTTTTTTTTTTTTCTCTTCACAGTCACTCACCTGCTGGTTATGCACTTCTCTCTTGTTTTTCTTTTGGCTCCAATAGTTTCATGCTAACATGCGGTTTCTCAAGAATACTTCTCGACACATTGTCTTCGTACTCTTTTTGCTTTTCATTGCTTCCGCCCCTCGGTTTCTTGATGGTCATTCAATATCACAAGTATATTCTTGTTTTTAAAGTATTCTTACATCATTATATGTATTTTGAATTTTTGCTTTCAAAAAGTTAAAATTTACTGTTTTTTAATGTATCATTATATATTCCACAAAATTCTACTTGACTTGGTTTATGTCTGGTTAATTTCATAGCTATTATATGTATATAAGATATGTATATATGATACATGGCTTGTTAATGTTCTAGTTAGTAAAATTGTTCTTCACTTTGCTCTTTACTTGTTGACACGAAATGGAGCACTTTGAAAACATTGCTTTATATAATCTTAAAACTCAAAATCTAATTATTGATTGTAATCTCTTCACGGAAATCTTCATCCTGGTCAATCTTCATAAATGATCATACTTTAACTCTTCTTCTAACATGTGAAATAATGAAATTGATCGGAGGCTAGAAGCCTTTTTAAAGATGAACTTTTTTTTAATCCATGCATTTCGTCAATCAAAACCATCCAATATAAATTAATACTTGTTTTAATAATGTTAAATACACGGTTGATTTGATCTTGCATTTGAAGAAATAAATATTAAAGTCTAAATGGGTGGAACAGCTATTCTTCTCCTAGGAGGAGAAAAGTCTGTCTTCTTTATGATGCTCAAAACCTATAAAAAGTGCACATTTTATTTGAGATACAAAAAATAATGTGGAATCTCTTTGTTGCTCGGAAAAGGACTTAATTGCATTGGGTGCTGCTCTTTCAGTGCGGCCTTCATTTTTGGCTAATATTTGTATTTAGAGGTACAGATCTTCAATTAAAAGCATTATTTTGGCATGTTGAAGGAATACACCCAAGATGATTGAGATTTTGAGCTCTGATGGTTCAAGTTGCAGCCAGATACCATCCTCTAGAGCAGATCCACTACAAGGTGCGTGAGCTCATGCAATTTCCTTTGAAGAAGAATATAATAGAGATTTCTCTCTTTACAATTTGCCCCTTTTATAATAAAGGATTTTAGTTTTGATAATGAAGTCTTCCTGATTTTTATTTATTTTTAAATAAAGGCTATTAAAATAAATATTCTAATTATAATGTTTTTAGTCTTTTTGGCCACCACTGCACGGCCTTTTAAGCCTCCAACAGCCCAACCAGCACCATTTCCTGCTCGCTGACTTTGAACAATTACCAGTTGGATCTTCCACCTTATTTTTTTTATAATAATATTATTTATTTGCTTATAAATAAATGAAAATCATTGGCGCTTTAAATTTTTTTTTTTTTGGGGGGCATTTACATACATACCACAATATTCTTTTATATATTTACATATAATTTATATATATATATCGCCTATACTTTCATATTTACATACATAACACACAAATCTTTGATATCACATCAAAAGCACCACTCGCCACTTAACTTCATAAAAGTAAAATATAAATTTTCATGCATTTGCTTTTACTAACAAGTTGTTATAAATATAAATATCCGACTTTTTGTGTTAGATATGTAAATGCATATGAATTGTGCGGCATGTATTTAAATTTCCATTCTTTAAAATTAATTTTTTTCCAAAATATATTAATTGGTTATCTTACCTTGTTCGAACTGTCGTTAACTGGTCTTTGGTCTTTTTTTCAACAGGGAAGGTCTGGGTATCACCATCTGAAAGATATGCGCGTGTTCCTGATGAAACGGTTAGTAATTTTAAATCTCACCATCACATTGTAGAAGCCCTGAAGCTGTGAGACACTGTAACAGTTAGCATAGTGAAACGCCATTTTTACTGTAAAATATGTTTGATTTAATTGGAGAGTTTACTTCTGTAGCCTATAAAACATTATATCTTATTAAATTTGAGTTTTTTTCACCTTTTTTCCAGGTTCCGAACCAAGGAACAAACTTAATGGAGGGTAATGGGAATGAAGCAGATGTACCGGAGAATGACGTTAAGCGGCTGCGCCATTAGTCGGCTTCTAATCTTTTATGTTTGTAAAAATAAAATTTATGTATGAGCTGGAAGTATGAAGATGTTATGTAGTTTTCTCCAGTCCTGCTCTTTGTTTGCCTATGGTAGCTTGTTTGTTTGTTATTTGTTATGCTCTTCATATTCACTTTTGCGATATTTTTCAAAATCAAACTTATTTGCTTAATATTCTGTTCTAGCACAGTTTTTGCTGAATTTATTTAATCGAGTAGGCTTCAGTTGTTCAAATAGGATTGAAATTATTTTGTTGGGATGGTTAGCTTCAGCTTTATCCATGGCTGCCGATGCTGTTGCAGTTTCAGCCTATAAATTTGATGATTTGTTAGGGATTTATTTTCATCGTGTGATTGGCCTGGTATAATTTGGAGCATTTCTAGTATGTTAACAGGGCAGTCCTAGCATATAACAGCTGATATTGATTGTATCATCATTATCATTTCATTTTGGGAAGTTCACATGCAAATGCAACACAATCCTTATGTTTTTGCATAGCTAACTTATGAAACTTGGTGTCATAAATTAATGTATGAAAATGTTTTTTTCGTTTTTAAAAAGTTGATAATGGTGGTATTTTTTTTTTATGTATGTGAGATTCTTGAGTGTTATAAATGGAAACATGAAAGTTTAGGGCATAGATATGTCAATATATAAGAAATGTGGTATGAATGTATTTTGTTAGGTATTGGGTAATTTTGATTGTTTTGTTCTGAAATTGATTGAAAGATGATCAAAGTTAAATTTGATTTATTCTAGCGACTAGATGGAAACCAATATATAGTGAAACATATCAATTTTAGAAAGAATTTCCAGGATTTGTTGGGGACATCTTTGTTTTTTTGCCTGATTTGTGTTTCAGACCGTCATCACAACTTTATTTGGATAATTATTTTCTTGTTTTCTAGAAATTTATGGAGGGAAGTCTTTTTTTTTCAATTTGATATATTAAAGTGCGATAGTTATAAGAAAGTTATATACGTAGTATTCATCACGTGATTTTTAAGAAGTTATTTTCTTTAACATAATTTTGCATTATCTTTTTAAAAAATTGTAGGCACTCCAAGTAAAACTTAAATTGTTTTGAAAAGAGCATAAGATATGAGATATTGAGATGGATGTCTTCTATTTTATTATTATTATTAGTATTTTATTTTATAAGAATGATTACTTGCCTTATTTAGCATCTAATATATTATTTGCACTTCAAATTTAAAATCTTAGGCTTTATTTGATAGAGTTTTTGCTTTAAAAAAGACTCTCTTAAGATATAAAATAATTGTTGCTAGTCAATATTGTCATTTGAATTTGAAAATTTGTGTTTTTTAACACTTGGTTATAACTATTTTAATATAAAAAAATTATAATAGTCTAAATAAATTTAAATTATAATCATCATTTTAATTCTGATAGATTAATTACATAATTTTATTTGGCTCTCATTGGGCAAGATTCAACATGATTTGTGTCATTGATGATGAAATATTCAACTTTTACATAAAAAAATAAAAATAAAAATCTTAACATGTTAATAAACATGAATTATGGATTTTTGAGTTTTATCAATTTTATACTCACTTGTGAAGAATGAACATTTATTTTTGATATGTAGAAGGGTTATTTAAATAATTTTAGCCAACATTCCTAAACACTTAAACAGAGGACAATCATCGCTTGATCATTAAGAATTTGAGTGTCTAATGAAATCAAAGTTGAATAATTTTGGATTTGGTATATTTTTTTAATCGTGATATTGTGATTGTAAGTAAAATTTCATATCATTTAATCCTATAAAATATCATGAATTTCTTATATATACATATAGATATATATATATAGTGCCACATATCCAGACCTGTTGGTTGACATTTACAGTATAAGATCCCTCGGGTCGGGGGTTGAACCTCTCTGACACAGTTGACTTTAAGGAGGTGATACTCGAATTGTTAGACAGATAGGGGTGACTAGAGGCTCGTATAATAGCTTCTAGTCATTACTTTTAATATATATATATATGTGTGTGTGTGTGTGTGTGTGTGTGTGTGTGTGTGTGTGAATGTTTGTGTTAGATATATAAATAGCCAAGAATTGTGTATTATTTATGTAAATACCCCTTGATTATTTAGATTAATGAAACATACCATTCAAATTTTAAGTCACTTCTATTTTTTTGACCGATTCCACATTTTTTATATTTTTTATGACTAAATTTTAAATAAAGTCGATGATATTTATATTATGAATAATTTTTATCATGAATTCTGATCTTTTATTTAAGCATAATAAAAACGGTTAATCCAAAACCAAATTTTGGAAGAGAAAAGGTAGGAAGATTTGGTAGAGTTGCCCATTGCCTAAAAGTCAATATAATATTGACTATCATATTTGAAAAAAAATAATTGTTAGGATGATTGTAATTTTATGACCTATAAATGTTTTCAATACTTTGGGGAAAACAAATATCTATACTTTAATTATTACATTGATAAGACTTTGTAGATGCTTGAAAATATGTTTTAATTTTTAAAAGTTCTTAATTATGATATTTTCTTATGTGATAAGAAAATTAAAAATTTTATACATTTTAGGTGAAGTTTATTGATCCTTAATCTCGAATGACCATAGGTATATATAAAGTTGTAATTGAGTCAAGTTGACTAGAGTATGTCGTGGATTGGTCTTGGTTTGCTTGAATCATAAGTTTTTCATGTTCAATTCATCTTTGAGCCGAGTTTTCACATATATGTTCATTTTTTATTTGCTTAATTTTTTTAATGACCATACTTAATTTATATTTGACTAGTTTATATTAAATGAAGAAGCTAAAAATTCAAATGTTTTTAAATTTTTTATATAAAATTAAATTTTAATTTGCATTTAGTTTTTCCTATGCAACAAGTAAATAAGTTAAAAATTTAAATGAATTTTTTAATTTCTATAAAAAAATTGATAATAAATTTTTAACTTATTCGAATTTATAACTTATTTGAATTTATTATCAATTTTAATAAAAAAATTGAATAGTCATTTCAATTTTTAACTTATTTACTTGTTGAATATGGAAAACTAAAGTGCAAATGAGCTTAATTTTCATATAAATTAAATTTTAATGAAATTGATAAAATATTTAACTTATTTTACAAATCTTAATAACAAATAATTGAATAAATTATAAGTTAGCATTCAACTAGTTTATAAAAAATAAATAAAAATAATTTATAAGTTATAAGTAAATTTCTTCCAATCAAATAATATATTTAATTATGTTAATTAATATAATATTATTGTGTGTGTCTGTTACTCATTTGATTTAGTTTAAGTTTTAGAATAATAAAACATAATTAATTGAATAGATTATAATATGAGCATTTATGGTTTATGAATTTAAATCAGGTATTGTTGTGAAAGGCTATGAGGGAAGGGGAAGATTTGGACAAACAAAAGATTTTAAGGGATTTTGACTTTGAGGGAGAGAAAAGTTTGTGAAGAAATCAAATAAGGGATGAGATCGATCTGAATGCCCATAACGTAAATGTTTAATCTTATGTTATTAATTAAATTAATGATGTAATTAGCTAAATTGATTAGTATTGTTAAACTTTATTATTGTTAGGAAGTAAGGAAGAAGACCGACTGATCCTTTAGATTTGAGGAAGAAGATAGATACATTTCAACGATAAGTTATGTTTTAAATTAAGGTTTAATTTACTTAATTTGAAATTGATATTTAATAAAATATTAATGTTTAACTATAATTTAGGTTGAAGCACATTTAAGCATGAAGGCCAGGAGTCCGTGTGGTAAGCAAGCAAAACACGGTGGGGAATTATTTTCTTATATTTATTAAATTTGAAGTTTATAAAATAATTTTTTTTAATGTTTTATACAATTATTTTACTTTTGTATGCATGTTGTAACTTAAGAATGAAAGGAATTGAATGGGGAAAGGGAAACATAACGTTTAATGTCTTCAAAAGATATAATTTAAATGAAATGAAAGTTAAATGTTTAAGTTATACAGGAATACCCCCATATGATACTGACATGGGATGCAAAACATCCATGCATGTTAAAGAAAATGGTAAATGGGGTGCAATTTGAGGGTGCATTTGGGTACATTTTTTAAGGCATCTTTGAACACATTTTGAGGGTGTCTTTCGTCCAAATTCTTTAGGATACTTTCGGGTATGACGGTAATCCTATGATGACTATTAAGGAGGTTAAATTGGTAAAAACTTAAAATGGAATGAGAAATGATAAATTTAAGGTTTTAATGAAATTTATTGTATTTTCTTCTTGTCATTCAAGCATAACATAAAAAATTTAATGCAAATTATATTATAATTACTTACTAAGTTGCACATATAGTTTCAAATAATATTTCTTTTAGGAGAAGAAAATTTCTAAGTGATATGTCTTGTAGGAAACACTTGATTTTCAAGTGGAAGACCACTGCTACTGATAGATATTAGTTTATGATTTGACTTTAGTTTCTTTTTTAGTGTTTATTTCTGTTTAGAGACACTTTATATGTTGGTCAGAGATATATTTTTCGATTATGATGTTGTTTCTGGAGAGTTAAAACTTTGTTGCACTTTGTGGATTAGTGGCTCTTTTACATTTATTAGAAGTTTCTTAAATTTTTGAAAAGTAAAATGAAACATTAATATTTTTTGAACGTAGTTCCTACCCTAGTTAATTTTAAGCATCGTTTCAGGTCGCGAGAGTAGGCATCTCGTTGATCATGATGCATGTCATTTGAAATCTAATTACTTGGGAGCTTTACTTTCAACAAATACCATAGATAGGAATAATGAACTTTTCATAATCACATTTGTAAGAGTTGAGTTCAAATCAAAAAAGTCTTGGGAATGGATTCTACAAAATTTAGCTATGTCTTTTGAGTTTAATGTTGCACCAATAAGGTCTATCTTCAATATGGAAAAGGGCTTGATTGAGGTGTTAAGGTCTTTATTTCCAGATGCAAAACATAAGGTTTACATGCGTTTATTATGGAAAAGCATTAAGAAATACATTCATTTCCAAGGTAACAAAGAGATTCGACATAATGTTTGGCACACGCCAAATGCATACACT